AGAAAAGAGAACTGTTGGTGAAGTAAATAACGTTGTGTAAAAAAAACAATAAATAAATTTTGGCCGAAACAGCGCTGAGAGGTCGCACAACCGGCCGCAATAAAAAAAAAGAGTTATTGTCGCCAGAGCAGCGTTGTGGCGAGAAAGAAGAAAGGAATCAGTGTTGTTCGAAGAGGTAGCTTTGCGGGAAGGGGAACAATATATATAAAATAAATAAATAAAAATTGCAGCGCTGCCGAGGCAACAAACGTTGTTGGGGATTTAGTTTGGGCCTAGTAGAAAAACAACGCTGCGGAAAAAAGACAACGGAAAGGAAAAAACTGCTTTGTTGGGCTATGCGCTGGCGTGGAGTGGCGAGAAGGTTGGGTTTTGCAGGCTTGTAGTACTGCTGGAGTGTTGGTCCTCTTTATTCTTTCGTCTCCGTCTACATAAAGGTCAGTAATTCATTTTATTTCTATCGTTGTTGTGCATGCCAAAGACAATTAGAGCAGGTTTGTTCAGCTGCTACCGGTCCAGAGTAAAAACAGGGTCATCATTGTTATTGCATAGTCTAAACCACAACGTTGCTAAGGCCAAGACGCATGAAAGCCAAAAATATATGTATGTCTAAAGTGAACATTGCATTGCATGAATTCTCGGTGGTTTTTAGTTGGCTAGGTTTTGGCTAAGCATTTGGCCCAAAAAGAAAGAACCAAATGGCCTTCGAGTTGGCCTAACCAAAGATACTGCATGCAGTGAGAATTTGAATCCCATGGTTTGGCAAATTGTGATTGCATGACAAACCAAATTCCTACAGTGGGCCAACGTTGGATCTTCACCATGAACACAATACTACTGCAACCTCAAGTTCTCTTCCAACGAACTTATTTGTGGTTAATTTTAGACAATATTTTAGGTGAGGTGATTAAATTATGTCGACAATTTGGTTCATAATTCTTATAAACCAAATTGTGGGGGGCATTTGTTGAGACCTAAAATTATTTTGACCTGAATTAAATGTCGCTGGGCATTGAATTCGATACCGGGGATAAAAAAACGGTGTCGTTGGGAGTTGAGCGACATCGCGGAGAGTTAAAAACAAACCGGTACCGCAAGGAAGCTCAGCGGTACCGCGGTACTGGAAACGACACCGGTAAATAAGATGTGGGCCGCGCGTTTAGTAGTGGTGTTGGAAAAGGAGTTTTTGAATTAATTATTATTTTTATTCCTTGTCGGAAGGGGAGAAGCGGTACCGCATGTAGACAAGCGGCATCGCGGAGAGTTAAAACGACATCGCAAGGAAGCTCAACAACACCGCGGTATTTAAAACGACATTGTTTAGGGAAAAACAACGTCGGATTCACTCGGCATGTTGGTGTTGTTATTGGAAAAGGAATGTTTTTGTTTTTTCCTTGTCGGAGGAGGGATAAAACGGTGCCGCGAACCTCAAAGCTCAACGGCATCGCGAGACTGGGAAACAATGTCGTTTGGCTAAAAACGGCACCACAAGTAAACCCAACGACACCGCGGATTAGAAAACGATACCGCGAGAAGCCTTTGTAAGTGATGTCGCTTAATTAGAAACCATATCGGGTAAGTGGCTGGCCCAAAAATCCGCCCAGCCCAAGCGATGTCGATTAATTAGAATACTCAAGTTCTAACGGAATCCTCGTGAATAGTAGATTTGAGAAGCCGAATGATCCTATTTGATAAACTCATTGGTGTAGAAAATCAAAAGAGTCAAAATGACATAATGTATGGGGACATAACAAAGTCAAGTAACTCTCAAACAAAAAAAAACAAAAAAAAAGGCAAAAAGGCAAGAAAAAGAAAATCAAAATATATAAAAAAATAGAAAAAAAAACTTATGGGACTTACATATTATATGCCCCTTACATGAGCACTTGAAGTCAAAACCATTTAGACTCATGACATGTAAAAATTACTGCCTACCTCGCTAAAAGGCCAAAGAGATCATTTCAAGTTTACCTTTGCGCAGTGCTCATCCTCTTAGTCGGTAAGATCTATACATTGAAGCAATTCTAGTCATGAAATTAATCAGGTCTCTAAACCAAAGGGTATATGCCTGCCAAGTTTGAATAAAGATGCAAGATAACCCGAATGAGAAAGGCTCCCACAACAAGAATGCTACAAACTAAAAGTACATCCCATGATCATTCTCGTTGTCCATCATTTGAACTCTCGTTGGCAAGATAAAAAAGGAACCCCTTTATCATTTTGAGGGTCAATGAGAAGTCGAAGCATGCATCATACCAAAACCTTCTTTATCCATAATTTCAAGGTCAAACAAGGACCTCGACAATTGAGAAGATTTTCGGAATCGAATTTCTACTCACATGACCTCAGTCACTTCACTACTCGAGTTTACCCCTCAAACCAAAATTTTAAGACAAGGGGGCACAACATGAGTCAAAATACTCAAGATGAACCAACATACTTGAGGAAGACAAGACTTCATGGACACATATCTCCTTTATCCATCAGTCAACCTCATACTTTGGGGGCAACCAGATCCCTCAGCAAAAACCTTACACGACTAAAGATAGAAGTCCCATTTATCTATCACTCAGGTGGGAAAATTCAAATTCTCAAAACATTAGAACTCTTACAGTTGGAGTCATACCAGACACGAGCTTCTTTCAGGAAAGTTGATAACTTTTACCACGAGACCATACAATGATCGCTCGAGCTCTCCATGATCAAAAAACCTATACCTTGAGGACATTTTCCCCCATCAACATGGTGACTAGAATCTTGATAGTTGCTGAAGTATCATAAACTCAACGCACCCATAGGATTGAGTGAGAGTGAAATTGAGAGAGACAATGAGAGCAAGAGCTTATGGATATTCTCATGGCTTGACTTCCAAAAGAAAAAAAATTTAAACAATGTGGCATTAACCACACAAAAATCGTGTTATTCAAAGTTGCACACACTCCCCCCAGCAAGGCTTCAATTTCCCAAATCAAGTTCCCATCCTACTTTTCCAAAATAAGATTTTCAAACATTGTCGCATTCATTTTTGGTCAAGATAGGTAAGAGTTAGGCTTTCTTCCAAAGAGTGGATAGCAAGTAACATATTCCCGGGGGCAAAATGGAGCAATCAGAAAAGAAGGAATTTGAAATATCCATATTGTGGGTCTCGCAACTCTCCAAATCACGAGTAAACAAGAATTTCAGAGATCTTGAATTGTTCTCTATCCAACTAGTCAATCAAACTATACTTCAACAAAGTATTTTGTACCTCATACCTCTCGGTGAAGTCAATCAAGTATGTCTAGAAAACCAACATCAACAAGACAATACCCTGAAGTGACAAGTTCTTCTTAGCCAAGCGCGACATGCTTGCATAGCAAGAGGATCAATCAAATTAAAGGAGCACATTATCCCTATACCACCATGCTAATAAAGTGTCCTACAGAATCAACCTACTAAGCACATATCATGAATAAGAAGATTATATGGCTTCAGCCATTCAAATAGCAGTGTCCAAGGCGGAGAAAGCAGAGGACCAACCTTCCATCAGTCCCTAGAAACGACATAACTTGGCTTTACCGAGCAGCCAAAGAGGAAATACTAGAGGGTAATCCCATTTCCACGAGATAATGCCATACCCACCGGCGACACCCATGCTACTCCAATATAGGCACAACTAAGGAACGTGTCGAGCAAAAGAAAATGATACAATTCTCGTGGGTGATCAAATTAAAGAAAACCATAGCAAAAACAAAAAAACGAAAAAACATAATTTCACACCAATTACCAATCATAACTTCTACTCTGCATAACATTCACAAAATCATCATTTAACATGGCTTATAATATGACCATTTTCCAAAATTTGTTACACTACATCCTGCATTTATGTTCTTCATGATTCATCACACGCTATGCGGTCACTTTCAAAAGTATCCTGATACTTCACATTACACAATCATTCATCATAATCATGTACAAAACAACACTTTGATGTTCTGTCGACTATCATGGGCAACCTAAACCTACCTAGACAATTTGTTTCGTCGACTATCACGAGCAAATTAAATCCCTACTTTCAAACTTGTTCCGTCGACTATCACGGGCAACCTAGAACTTACCTAAAGAATTTGTTTCGTCGACTATCACGAGCAAATTAAGACCTTCGTACTAGGCTTGTTCCGTCGACTATCATGGGCGACCTAGAACCCACTTAGTCAATTTGTTTCGTCGACTATTACGAGCAAATTAGACCTCTTGCTAAACTTGTTCCGTCGACTATCACGAACAAAAGAGACCCCTTGCTAAACTTGTTCCGTCGACTATCACGGGCAATTTAGAAAACCTAGTAAATTTGCTCCGTCGACTATCACGGGCAATTTAGAAAACCTAGTCAATTTGCTTCGTCGACTATCACGAGCAAATTAGACACCCTTCAAACTTGTTTCGTCAAATATCACGGGCAATTTAGAAATCCTAGTCAATTTGTTTCGTCGACTATCACGAGAAAATTAGACCCTCTCCTAAACTTGTTTCGTCGACTATCACGGAAAATTTAGAAATCACCTAATAAATTTTTTTCCTCGATTATCAAGAACAAATTAGATCTACCTACTAAAATTGTTACGTCGACTATCACGTCAATTTAGAAGTCATCTAGTCAATTTGTTTCGTTGACTATCACAAGCAAATTGAAACCCTCCCACTAAGCTTGTCCGTTGACTATCACAGGAAACTTAGTAATGTCATCACCCAAATATTCACCTTGATTTCGCTCACTAACATTCGATTTATCTCTACCGTGTAAAAATGTGGTGTATTAAAAGAACTTTGTATACCTCTTAAATAACAAGAGATATACAAAGGGGGCAACTGTAGACACCACTTTTTGCCCGGGTTAAAAACATATGTTACTAAGTAAATCAATAGTAAATTTTGATTGTTGAGTTTGTTTTGGTTGTCATGCTGTTAATTGATTCTTAAGATATTGGGTCTTGGGAGAATTGGATCGCAATTTCAAAATATAGAATAGAAGTCATACCAATTTTATTAAGATAAATACAATGTTATTACACAATAATTGCTATGTAAAATAGAGCAATAAAAGAAACATGAGCCCATGCCCAAGGTCAACAGTCAAACCAGTCACCTAGTCCTGCCCAGTCAAAGTTGGGTCAAGCCCATATCACAGTCAACCAAAGCCAAAAATCCAAGCCCAGCCAGACTCGGGCCAGATCCAATCTCAGTCGAATCGACTGGTCGAACCGGACCAGGCCCAGCCCACTCATTTGCCAATAAAAAAAATACAACACAACCTACCTATTAGCCAATCAAAAGTACCCACCAAATTGCATTATCTGCTATAAAGCGAGGAACTCTGGGATTCTTCTTGGGGGACGGCATCTGCGCACTCCTCTTTCTCTTTCTTCTTCTTCTCTCTTATACACATCACATACCACCCAAAAGCTTGAAAAAAGAAACAGGGGAAATGATCAGCTCCTTCTTCCTCTTCATTGCGAAAGCTGCTACTTCCTCTTCTTCCTCCCCACCACCACAAGCAAGAAAAAAACACTACTTCCTCTTGTTTTCTTCTCAACTGAAAGACACAGACAACCAATAAAATTTCCTAGCCCCTTCTTATTGGAACTTGTTTCCTTCCTTCCCTCCTTTTTTGTCTTCTTACTCAAAACCTGCACAAATAGAAGCCAAAGGAAGTTACAAAATTCCCACACCAAACACCCTACCACTGCTGCCAATTTCAGCAGCAAAAAAACCCTTGGAGACAACAAAGGGAGGTCAGAATCGTCATCAACCTACAAGTAGAAAGGTTGCTCACCAACTAAAATCCAACCATTATCTGTATCATTTCATCATCTTAACCCATCGTATTAAGTTCTTTTCAAAATCAAAACTCAATCAACCCCAATCAAATTACAATCTTACCCAAATAAAACTCCAAAAGCAATCAAGCACAATCAACTTTCAAAGCAAATTACAAGTCGGAAAATCTCACCAGAATAACAAAAGCAATCAACAAATCATATATTGCTTTTCCTTAACCCCCTGTTTCCGAAGGAAGAGAGGAAAATGGAGGGGAGGGGAAGGGAATTAGAAGGGGAAGGGAATTAGGAGGTTAAGGAAATTGGAAGGAAAATGTTGTTTTATGGAGGAAAGTGGAAAGGAAAATGTGTATTGAAAATTGTGATAGATGTGATATTTTATTGGGTATATAAAGAGATATCATTTTCATTGCTTATGAATTGTGAATTAAACACATCACACTACACATACACAAATAACATTGCCTTCAATGACAAATTTACCGAATTAAAATATCATTCATTTTAACTCAATTTAAAATATTTTCCATTAAAATTAGATTACCATGTACAAATACATCCATTCTATAAAAACTTAACACTCTGGTGTCGTTTTTAAAAGGAACGTAAAACACTTTTACAACTTACGATATTAAATTATCTAACATATGAATAATAACACATAACATTATATCAAAATAATGATTTGTGTGTGTTGAACTCGTTTTAACTTAATTTGTTTCATAATATCTAAATATTTTTTTTTATAATCATAATTATTTCCTTAAAAGAAGGATAATTGAATTATCTAATCCTATGTCAAAGACCCATTGTCATTCGCCACTGGAATGAAAGTTAAATATTTTGTAGAAAGTAGAATTGAAGAAGAAAGAAAGACTTTTATTGTTGGGGGGAAAGATAGATGAAGACAGAAGAGTGAGATGGTGCAGGCCAATAAAAAAAGGCCAAACATTATTTTCCTTCCTTTTCTCTCCGATTTGGAGGGATGACCCAAACAGTATTTTTTCCTTTTCAGTCCCCTCCCTTCCTACTATTCTTTCTTTCGCAAACGGAGGAAAATGCATTGGGAATGCAATTTCCCTCCCAATCATTTTCCTCCCTCCCTTTTCCCTCCTACAAGAACAGAGGGTAAGAGTTCATTCTATTTACTTCTGTAATTATCTCATTACTTCCATTTAAATATCTTTGTTCATCATTTACTATTTCTTTGTCTGTTCTACTTGTTTTTGTAAGTTTGTTTTCATATCTTGGACTACACACCTAACCATCATTAAGCAAAATTTCCCATAATTCACAATGACCCCAGATTAATAAAAATATTCTGATTAATCAATCTAGGCAAGCTTAACATCATGCAATGACATACATGCTCAAACTCGATCTATCCATAAGATAAAACCCATTTTCTAGTCTAAATTCCCTAAACTTACCCAATTGAGTTCAAAAGGATATACCCAGATCTCCCATTCTCCAAAACCTACAAAATGGAGCTTAATCGCTATCTAAATTAACAAAACAAACCGAGAAAAGAAAGATTGGATAAATTCCCCTACTGTCGCCGTTGCTGCAGAGCGTACTGCTCACGTCCTCCCTGATTCCCTTCGTCTTCCCCTTATCCTCCTTTCCTTGACCGAAGCAAGAACCCAAACATTCAAAACAAAAACGGGTCAGAACCCTAAAGCGCACAAATAAACCAAGAATAAATAAAAAAATCTTTACCTAGATAGTGAGTCGCCGCTGTTGTCATCAGTAACCTCCCCGTCACTGGTGCCTAGCAGGAGATAACATCGTCGAAGCTCGGTCCTTCTCCTCTCCACCGAAACTCCCAAAACCCAGAAATAAAAAATAAACATGTATAAAAAACTTACCCAAAGTCGAAATCGCACCTAAAATACGACATACAGAGAAACAAAAAATGTCCTCTTGCCTCCGTTCACCATCGTCGTCCTAATCCTCGCCGCTCACGGCCGCCATCTTAGTTGCCATCGGTGTGTTTCCTTTCTTCATCTTCCCTTTGCATCTAATCATAGAAAGGATGAGAGAGAGGACAGAAGCAGAGGATTGAGAGGAAGAGAAGAGGAGAAGTTTTGTTGGCTTTTGTCTCAACAGAAACGAAAGAGAGAACGAGATGGAAGATAGACGAGGGAGAAGGTTGAGGGTTAGACCAACTCCGATGCATTCATCCCCAAATTTGGGGATTGCCCCCATTTTTTACAATTTGGCTCCAATGCTACCAACCTCAAATTTGGGGATGTCCATTTTATCCATTTTTACATTTACTTAAATATGTACTTATCGAAACCATAATATAATTTGTTAATGTTAATTTTTGTATAGTTCTTCATCATTTTAAAATACAAATTTTTCGATAGAATTTTTTCAAATTCTGAGACCGAATTTTTTTGGCGAAAAAATTATGGACCTAATTTTGGTTTACACACAACACTTGAAAAATTCTGGACCTAATTTTAAATAAAACGAATTCAATTTAAGTCATCTTAGAAAATAAAATAAATTAACCAAATTATTAAACACAAATTTAATAGACAACCTTCACTTAATTAATACAAACATTAATTTATTAACCTTCACTTATTAGTTACATAACCATCATTAATTAAACACTTAATAAAAATAAAAAAAAGGAAGGGGCGGAACGTGGACACCCGCCAGCCGCTCGCCCACTCCCCATTTTTGCCGCAGTCGGCATTCCCTCCCCCAAAATTGCCGATCAAAATGCCGATTCCACCTCAAAATTGGCGCCTTCCCCATTTATGGAGTCCCATTGGAGCTCCACCTCCCCCAAAATTGCCGCCTCCCCCATTTTTGCAGGCTGCGTTGGAGACAGCCTTAGAGGCCGGTAGGTTTAGATAGGGATGGCAATCGGTCGGGTTGGGGCGGGTTTTGTCAAACCAAACCCAAACCCATGGGTTTATCCGCCAAAAAAACGGGGTAAAACCCGCTGGGTTTGAAAAAACTCAAACCCAACCCAATCCGCTGGGTATCCGCGGGTTCATGGGTACCCGTGGGTTTTTGTGGTAAAAAAAATTACAATAACAAGTTTCTTTCAAAATAAAATTTTAACATCAATTTTCTCATACAAATTATTTATATAAAAAACACCAATCTAGAGCATACAAGCAAACCGCAAATGATCAATACAAATTGTTCAAAATTAAAGATAAACATCTATAAACAACAAGATTAATTGAAAGCTTCTTCCTCGTCAAATAAGTTTCTTCACTCTCCACTCCATAATATCAACTTCATTCTAAACAATTAGAAAGAACAAATTATGCAAGTCCCCACAAACATAAAGAATATTTTTTTTGATGGTCAAACATAAAGAATATTAGTTGTGTAAGGAAGATATATTATTTAGAATATTAAATATACCGCGAAAATAATTATATGTGTGGGCGGATACCCATGGGGCGGGGTTACCTAAACCCAACTCAACCCGTTGAATAGTGTAGCGGGTTTAAACCCAAACTCAGCCCAAAACCCGTCAAAAACAAGCACAAAACACAACGTTAATCACAACTGTCAAATATCCACCGCCGGCGTCGGCGATGTTGATTTGATCGGTACACCTTTGACTTTTAATCAAACAACCGTTATTCGGTTCACCACCTCTCCAAACTACGTTCGAACGAGGGTGTTCGGCGAATAACCAGAAAATCGAACCAGGAGTGTTCTAAGTTACGTTACCTCTACTCCTATGGAGGTTCCTCTGGAGAGCTCCGCGACTACGACTACAAGCTACGACTACGACTCTGCAAAGGAGTTCTTTGACAGAGGGGTTCTACAAAAACTAGAGAGAAAAACTGATAATTCTGCGACGGTGCAGTTTGAGATTTGATTTTGCCGTCTCGAACTTCTCTCTCTTCCCAATCTTTATACTCCGCTCTTCTCCCCGCAGTCGTAGTAACTGCCTTCGCGCCTTTGTCTCCCACATTCCTCATTCTTGTCAACCGTGCGGGTAACTTCTCCGTTGTTGCGTAACCTCCACGGGTGCGAAACTGCTCTGAAGAAACTTTGCAAACCAACGCTGCGCCAAATTTGTGGCTATCCACCATGGTTCGATAATCCATCTCGCCTCCAAAACCACAAAGTTGTCACCCTGTTCATAAAACGGCGGCGTAGTAGAACAACGCCACTTCACTTCTAAAATCTGAGCATGAGAGCCTCCTCTCTCGGTAACGTCGTCGTTGTGGGGAATAAATTTCCCAGCGATCTCAACCCTGGAAACGTTGTACTCCACTAAACAACGTTGTTTCTCATCCAAGCAGAATCGTTGGATTTGCGGCATTGTCAAATACATAACGACACAAGTGATGTTGCGCCCTTGTCCGAATCACGACATTATTTAGCTAGGAATTCAACAATGCTTGATCACTAGCCCGCTTGTCATCAAATTGAAACAATGCCGCTTCTTGACATCATTGAACTCACTGCTTTGCTTCACTAACAACTGGCTCCGTAATCAACCACGTTCAAACACGACCTGACTTTAATCAATCCAGGTTAAAGCGAGCAATGTTGTTGCTTACCAGGCCGCACTTGCAACAACATTTGGTTCCCGATCCTGTTGAGCTTGCGGTCTCGCGGCATGAATAATCTTGATTCTGTGGTGTTCTTGAGTCTCTGAGCGTTGGACCCAACTCCTCGATGTGGGATTCGCAACGTTGTTTAGAGCTAAACAACGTCGTTTGTTTATTTAGCGGCACTAGTATATTCTTGCAACACTGTTTTTAACTGTTTACTTAGTTCCGCGGTGCTGTTGATATCTCTCGCGCCATTGTTATCTACCCAACGATACCGTTTTCTCGTCTAGCGGTGCCGTTTGGCTTGTCGGGCCTCGCCAAAATTCAACCCGTTGTGGTATGGTTTCTAACTAAACGGTATCGCTTAGTAATATCGCGACGCTGTTGATGCCTTAAACGGTGTCATTTTTAGCTAAACAGCACCACTTGTCACTTGATTATACCCGCGACATCGCTTAAATATTAAACGACTCCGCTTCCAGCCTCGTGGTATCGTTTTCTTCCCCAATCAGCTCCGTTTGCTTTTTCCTCCGCGACACCGTTTATTGCCGTTTGCTAGTACAGCGGCACCGTTGGGCCTACTTGCGGTGCCGTTTTGAATTAAACCACACCACCTAACACACTAAAAAGAAATACCAACGTATTAAATTGACGCGATCTTGCAAGTTTGGGATGGGCGGATTTTTGGGCCAGCCACTTACCCGATATGGTTTCTAATTAATCGACATCGCTTACCAAGGCTTCTCGCGGTATCGTTTTCTAATTCGCGGTGTCGTTGGGTTTACTTGCGGTGCCTTTTTAGCCAAACGACATTGTTTCCCAGTCTCGCGATACCGTTGAGCTTTGAGGTTCGCGGCACCGTTTTATCCCTCCTCCGACAAGGAAAAAACAAAAACATTCCTTTTCCAATAACAACACCAACAGGCCGAGTGAAGCCGACATTGTTTTTCCCTAAATAATGTCGTTTTAAATACCGCGGTGTTGTTGAGCTTCCTTGCGATGTCGTTTTAACTCTCCGCGATGTCGCTTGTCTCCATGCGGTACCGCTTCTCCCCTTCCGACAAGGAATAAAAATAATAATTAATTCAAAAACTCCTTTTCCAACACCACTACTAAACGCGCGGCCCACATCTTATTTACCGGTGTCGTTTCCAGTACCGCGGTACCGCTGAGCTTCCTTGCGGTACCGGTTTGTTTTTAACTCTCCGCGATGTCGCTCAACTCCCAACGACACCGTTTTTTTATCCGCGGTATCGAATTAAATGCCCAGCGACATTTAATTCAGGCCAAAATAATTTTAGGTGTCAACATATTCTCCATCGACGGTGGCCCTGCTCCTCTTCACTACCTACTGAGAGAATGAGGAAATCGAGGGAAGCGCCTAATGAAATCGCCACCGATACAGTCTTGGTCGGGAGGATCTTGCGAAAGGAAAATAAAAAACCTAATCGGCAACTTATTGTATTTAAGGTGACGTTTATTTTTTCTTTAATTATGGAATTAGATTAAAATTGAAATGAGTAAAATACATATTTTACCTTAGTACCCTTAACTGATTACTAACTAATAACTCCTATTAACTACCTAATCTTCTAACAGCCAATAGAATTGGTTTAAGCCTATGCTTAAGTTTTTGGGCTTAAACATATGTACCCAGGCCCCCTACTACCCATGGTTGGAGTGGGTTTGGATATTAAACTTCCACGGACTAAATTCATTTGCTTAATCCCAAAAGTGTAAACATATACTTAAACCAATCCTATTGGTTGTTAGTAGATTAGTTGGTTAATGAGGAATTATTAGTCAGTAATTGGGTAAGGATATTGAGGTAAATTGTCTATTTTATTTATTTCATATTTAACCTAATTCCATAATTAAACGAAAACTAAACAGGCGGATTCTGTAGTGCTGTGCCGGCACTAGTGCCGTAAGCTTTGTAAGCGTTAGATTTCTAATATTTAATGAGGACCATTGATGATAATCACCACTTAACCAAAATAGGTTGAACCTATTTTATATTTAAATAAAGCTTTTCGTCCAAAAATCCTGCCCCTGCCCAACAGTTTTCTCCGGAAAATGATGAGTACGGTCCATGTCTCTTGATCACAGGCGGAAAGGTAGGTGAACAAAAAAAAATCACCGGCGGGATGTGTATGCGAACAACGGCAATGCCGATTTTGGTGTTGAATTGCCTCGACAGAGGTGATTTAATTTGGCGATGAAAAGGTGGCGACAACGGGATTGACGACGGAGGACCGTCACAACGCAATGATGTGGTGGGTTGCAAGGCGATGTTGGAAATGACCGGGAAGCAGTAACGGAGCTGTTGGAAATTGTACTTTCGACTCACGGGGATTTGAGATCTGACCTCTGAGCTGCCATGGGCGATCGGAGGCGTCGATGTTGGTGTTGGATTGCCGCAAGCTCGCAACAGAGGCGATGCTCGCGATAAATAAGCGGCGACAATGGGATTGATGACGGAGGATCGACTCAACGCGATGATGTGGTGAGATTGCATCTGTGAATCCATGGAAGTCTGCTTCCTTTTTTTTTTACAATAGGGCACTAACTTTTCATTCCAACAGGCAACGGAAAGCTGAATTACAGAAGGGGGGAAACGATATCAAGAATATGGATCCAATCTGGGGGAAGTTGATTCCGAGCGCAGGATCTG